CTTTCCTGACTGAAGCTGCTCAGTATTGGTGGAGATTTCCCTTTTCAGCTCCCCACTCTGAAATGACAAGGAAGAAGAGAGTGTAATTTTACTGTTCCAAATATCGAACTTGTTTTTATATGCATTTTGCTGAGTTTGCTATCTCTGGTTGTTACTTTTTCATTGAACCATGCTTCAGCCTCTTTACGATTTTGGTCCGCAATGACTTCATACTGTCCCCTCATGTCATTCAAAAGCTTGGTCAGGTCAATTCCTGGAGCAGCATCCATTTCAACGCTGACTTGACCAACTGTAGTGCTTTGGATGCCCTGAAGCTCCTGGAGAGATTTAAAATAAAGAAAAGTTTCTGTTAATAAAAGGCAAAATAGTTTACCATAAATATATGTAAAGAAATATACATTATATAAATTCTGTTTTAGCAAGAATCCATAGCTTGCGTGCGTATTTCTTTCACTCTTTCACTTAGTAAACTCAAAAAAGAATAGCAAACAAATAACGAAACTAAGGAACTCTCACTTGCATAAGGGATTAATTTGATATTTCACAATTCCATCTGCCTTGTTATGAATTCACAAAGAAAAAAAAAATACCTCTTCATGGTTTTTCTTGAGATAAGCCAGTTCTTCATTCAGGCTTTCAATCTGCATCTCCAAATCAGCTCTTGTCAAGGTCAGCTCATCAAGAACTCTGCGCAGACCATTGATGTCAGCTTCCACACTCTGACGAAGAGCCACTTCATTCTCATATCTGTAAATAAAATAATTAAATACGATTTTTTATGTGCTTAATGAGGTCCAATGCAAGCTATTACTATGTACTTATATAGGTTTTAATATGAAATCTTAATACACATGATTATTATAATATTGTTTAATAATTACATTAAAGTATTCTACAAGGAAAGAGATTTTTAAATACAAAAGATTTTTTTCCTTAAAATATTAATAAGATTTTTTGTAATATTAAGGTGTACTTACTTCAGTCTGAAATCATCCGCAGCCAGTCTGGCATTATCGACCTGCAGAATGATTCTTGCATTGTCGATAGTTGCATTAATGATCTGGAATCAGAGAATGATTTTGTAGCCCAATGGCTTTGCAGCTCAATATAGCTATTTAGATAACTGTAATCCTAAATATGATTAATAATATTAAATGTAATTTGTTAGACTCTCATATAATTTACTATGAAAACATATAGGACAGATTTTCAGCTTCTGCAAATCAGCATGCTTCACTTAATGTTAGAATACTGGTTCTCGTTCTATGACTGGATAGTTTATAATCTCTGAAGACCTTGCCAGGTAGTCAGTCTTCAGGAATTGAATTTGTGATATAAGAAGTATGAAGCTTGTTAAAATTTAAATTTTGTAATCTACAAGAGTTTATAGAACTGGATTCCGTCACTGCCTTCTCCTTTATTCAGATTGGATCAAGTCACACAGTATTCTGCGATATAGCTACAGAACTGCCGATGATGTACAAGAAAAATTCAACACATGATACCAGTGCAGTGTGACAGAGGTTATTACAAGCATCGGTACTGTAGAATAAATTTGCTCTTGGTTTCTGAAAGGAATTTGTTATTTTTATCCAAAATATTACTAGCTGAATTACAAATGTAAAGATACGTTAAGTACATTGCTTTGTACCTTGTTTCGAAGATCTTCAATTATAGGATAATATTTACTATAGTCATTCCCAGACCCAGGGATGCCAGCGCCAGGGCCGTTTTTCTCATACCACTCGCGGATTTTGCGCTCCAACTCAGTATTGGCGTCCTCCAGAGATCGTACTTTGTCCAGATAAGCAGCCAGGCGGTCATTGAGGTTCTGCATAGTTTCTTTTTTGGAGCCAGAAAGAAGGCCACCATCCCCAGCACCAGCAGTGCCAAAAGCACCTCCAAAACCAGGTCCTGAGCCGCTGCCAAAGCCACCTCCAAACCCAGTGCCTGAGCTGCTGCCAAAACCACTTCCTAAACCTCCACCAAAAGCACTGCCTAAGCCACTTCCATAGCTGCCTCCTAAACCACTACCAAAGCCTCCACCAAAGCCACTACTTAAGCTGCTCCCAAAGCCTCCACCTGAGCTACTCCCAAAACCCCCACTGAAGCCAGAGCCTGAACCAAGCATAGAAGCAGTACCAAAACCTCCTCCAGGTCCACCACCGAACCCAAGTCCACTGCCACCAAAGCCTCCTCCACCGCTAGAACTAGACATTCTCAGAGAGCCCCCGCCAAGTCCACTCCGGGAAGAGAATTGCCGGGATCCACCGCTTGTGCGCGTGGAAAGGGCCATGGTGCTCTGGGTGTCCTGATCTATTGTAGGAAGCGTACAACGCGCAGCGAGGCAGGTCAGAGAACAGTTTATATAGGGAAAGCAGTGGGTGTTTTGCGAGTAGTCCCCACCTCCTAGGAAGACCTTTAGTTCTTTCTCTCTCGTTTGGAAGGGAAGTGAGTTTAGTATGTCCTGACCAAACTAAATGATAAGTGCCAATAGAAATTGCCAATGGGAGTGGAAATCTGGTGCCCTCCAGGTATTTGCTGTATGAGGGGAAATGGGTGGAGTAGAGCTAAGACATCACAATAATGTTTTGCCATGTGCAACGGAGCACAAAACCTTTTTTTCGCATTTAAATCCTTCCTAAATAATTTTTTTGTCATTTCATATTCATTGCTTTTTTGGTTTGGGTTTATTATTATAGAAGTACGCTTAAATCAGTGGCGCGATTCCTTTCATATCATACTTCCCAGTGTGTGTGTCAAAAAGGTGTTTCTTTTCATAATACTTTTCTGGCATGATTCTCTGCCAGATTGTGCTCCCTGTATGTTTAATAAGAAGTAAGAAAAGTGATCAACAAAAGTGTATGAAGAGGCATATGGGCATTCAGTGATCTGCAGGTCGATCGTTAATATGAAAGCATAAATATACTTGATTATACTGAATATAATTTGTAATTGTGTTTTCTGCCCTAAACCTTTCATCACTGAAATATTTCTGTGTAATATGTGTAGCCTATACCAGCAGTTTATACTCTTGAGCTGAAAATTGACCATTGTTTCTTCTAAATAGTTTGCTATTAACGTAATAAGGATAATGATTTCTGTATTTGGTTGCATTTTATAATGTAAATCTAAAGATCAAATATAGGTCTTCTGGTTGCAGGTTTAGACATGGAAACCCTTCAAAACCAATATGCTTTTCTTTTGAAGTTATTCTGGTGAACAGAAAATTGTTTTTTCGTTGACTTGGCTGAACTATATCATTGCATTTGTCAACTGAGATGTATTCATTTCTAATTTATCTACATCCAGGAGCATGGGTGCTTTTTTGGGCACAAATGTGATATGAGCAGTAGATCAAAGGTTTAAGCAGAGCATTTCATTAGTGTAGAAATGAATTAATAGCCTGGTATCAGTGACTCATGATAGTGAAAGCAAAGGATTATTTTCTTTGGCAGGTGGTTATGGACTTTAAATAACACACTGGACAGGTGCGATTTCAACAGGAAGAGCTTTTTGTGTTTATGTTGTCAAGAGGAAAATGTTGACTCCCTGGACTAAAGATCTGGGTGTGGCATAGGAGACTCAGGCTGTGTGGGAAAGGGTGCGTGCCGTTGCTGGTAGAGAAAGGTTTAAAAGAGACAGTGGTCTTTTTATGTCTGAACTGAAAGGCAAAGCATATTCTTATTGATAAAATTATCTTTTCTTGCTATAGTCCCTGGTGATATAAACATTCACAGAGAGTGAAAAATAATAAATAGGCTTCTTCAATTTCTTTATTCATTTTAATTTATTATGAAATGCAAATTGATATTTATTTATTTGAAAATCAGTTTTTACTGAAGTGAAGCTGCATTACATGTGGATGGTAGTTCAAGTTCAGAAAAGGTGCACTGAATCAACATTTCAATGCATTTTTAAAAACAAATCCCTAAATGTGCTAGTCCATAAGAGAAAAAATAGATTGCTAAACTTCGGGTTGCAGTTAAACTAACATATTTGACAGAGAGTGTATCATCTCTATCTGGTAAATTCTTTTTTGTACAGTTTTGATGAGGTGTCCATCAAGGTTTCAGAAATAGCAGCTCTCTTCTAAAACCTTTTTATTTATTAATATGTTGAAAGTGTGAGAAAATTTAAGGCACCAGATGTTGAAGTGAACCGTGTGAAAAAATGAAGAAAAAATTCTCGTAGTGCTTTCAGAAGAGTCCATTACCATCCAGAGCTTAAGCACATGGGCAAATTTTGTCCCATGCCTTCATCTAATGACTTTTACCAGCTTAGTGCTTTGAAACGTCAACAGTAAGCATTGCTTCAGTATTTTTCTAAATTTAATTTAGATTATTTTAAAAGCTATAGTAAATTCATACTATAAGTCATTGGACTTTGTAATTTTTCTGAGCAAGTTTTTTAATGTAATTTTAAGACTCTGATGTAAGTAAAAACTAATACTTCATTTTTTATTGGTCTTGGAAACAATTATACATTTATAACAGGCTGATTTGTTTGTTTTTCATCAAATTATTTAGTCACTAGGTAAGTAAACCCAAAATCCTGTACTTTGTAACTTACTGATTTTTATTAGCACTACCCCACAAAAAACAAACAAGCAGACAAACAAACAAAAAATAACCCCCAAAAAGAAAACGATTGTTTGCAATTTGATAGTTTGGCATTTTTCAACCCTTCTGGGTTTTAGGGAGAATTAAATTACATTCTTTATAAGCTTTAATCTTTCAGCTTTGGCATCAGCTCCAAGAAGCTCAGAGGCTGCCTCCTCTCTGCTGGTGCCATTTACAGCTTCTCCTCAATCTCTTTGATCTGAGAGGAGACAACCTTGCCATCAACCACCTCTTCAACAATTGTCTTGATCTTCTTAACTTTAGTTGATTCTGGTAATGAAATTGAACAGAGAATTAATTAAATGCAATGTGTATTGACAGAATAATATTACTGTAGCATTAGCAGCAATTCCACCAATGAGAAAATTGATAAAGGCATCTTTTTCAATACAGTTACTGTGAAGTAAACTTTCAGGGTACACAGGATATGGTTTCTCTTCCTTTGAGCATCCTGTGTGATACCCATAATACTATAGTGGACACTGTGTTGAGTAACTCTCTATCCCTCATGATAGTTTTGCTTCAGTTTAGCATGAACTTATAGACCTAAAACCTAGGAATAGTCTCACACCGGATATTTTGGCTATTAAACTAGATACTTTATTTAGGAACCTAGTCTCCCTGTGTATTCAGCAGAGAGAAGCAGGTGCTTCTGAAGTCCTCCAGAGGGTAATTCAACCACTCTCTGTTGTTCTCTTGACTCTTTGAGGAATCTGTGGTTTTACTTTGGGCACCTGAGTTATATACATAAAACCAGGCTTTGTATAATCCCTTTGAGTTATCTATTCATACAGTTGATTGCTTTCTTGATGCATGATTCTGCTGGTTGATTATTTGCTCTGAAACTGTGTTGGTTTGTATCAGGCTACTTAGTTCCATAACATTTCAACATGCACCATCAAAAAATAAGGAAGTTGGTGTGACATACCTTTTTCAGGCTCTGGTAAGGATACACTCACTTGGAAATCTCTGTTGAAATTATAAATTAAAAAATATAAATATGTGGTGCCTAACATATTGAAAAAACATCCTTTTCTGTATGTTTAATCAAGACAGGTAATGCCCTTTCATCAAGACATTTAACCAGGTGTTTAAATGAGTTTTCTGTTAAAGTAAAACTTGCTAAGCAGAAGCTATAGGTGAAATTAATCTGCAGACACATTTCTGCAATGCTATGACTTCAGCTCATGCAGATATGCTCAATCTAGTTCCTGAGCCAGAATAGCTGAACAGGCAGAACCCTGGGGGGAAATACCACTCTCTGCTTGCCCCGCTTTCACAGATGTCTGCTCTTTTCACTACAGAATGTGGGATGCTGGACTATCTGAGTGTCAGCTCACTTGCACCTCTTCAAATTTTTAAGTAGCTTGGCTACTAGTGACACAGCTAGAGCAGAGCATAATCCAGTGCAGGCTGCAAAACTTGCCATGGACTTCAAGAAAGGGTCAATATGCTCTTGCTCTGGTGCAACTAGGTGCTGCAGTGTCTAAACCAGGTTAAAAAAAAAAATAATCTGGCCCAGGTTAGCCCAGGCCTGCAGAAGCTACAGCCATTAGTTATGGACAAGTCTATCCAAAATTGAATTACTGATGCTTATGGAGTGTGAACATCTATCCAGCTACTCAGCTCACAAAGAGTAACAGTATATACCTATGCAGAGGCTGAGAGACAAACTCAACCGACTTCCACAGCAGCTTCTGAAACCGAGCACAAGCTGCAACCTGCTCTGAATCTACAGTTGAGAACTGGGCAACGGACTTCCCCCACACGCCCCAAACCATTTGTAAAGTGGCAGATTTTACACTTTCACCTTCTGTGAATATAGACAGTATTTGCAATGTTGTTTGCTGTCAGATGAAAGTAAACCGACTAGCAAAGTGCGCGTATTTCCTCACCCACTGTCCTCTCCTTCCAGCAGACGGCGGTACGTGGCGATCTCCATTTCCAAGTGAGTCTTGATATCCAGCAATAGATTGTACTCATTATTCTGACTCTCCATGTCAGCTCGGAGTTGCCTCAGTTGAGCCTCAAAATTGGACGCTGTTTCCTGTATTTGGGCTAGCTGATAATTATAACGTGCTTCAGTTGCAGCCAGAGTGTCTTCTAAAGACTTTATCTACAGCCGATGAAAAGAACAGAGATGTATTATTCAAGAGGATACATCTTTGTGTTAAAATAACATTTTGACTGAAAAGCCTCTCAGTTTCTATGTTTATCCATGTAACTATCTACTAAGCACAGTCCTTATTTCAAGTATTATTTACCATGTTAAGCTGGGACTGCAATTCTAGCTCCAGACCCTGAAAAATCTGTCTCCGGCTGGTAATCTCTTTCATTTGGCCTTGCAGCTCTTCCATGTCGGTTGCTAATTTCAGGTTCAGTTCTTTTGTCTGGAATGCAAAAATGGAGAGACTGCAAACTGCAAGTAGACATGACTGAGGTTCTTGCTGATGTTTAAGTAGTTGACTTTACCTGATTTTCGAATTGTTCTTTGGCTTCTTGACGGTTCTTTTCTGCCATTTCTTCATATTTCTGTCTCATGTTTTCCATAATAGTTGCAAGATCAATACTTGGAGCAGCATCCATC